ATCCTCCCAGCTTTTTTGTGTAATATATCTTGCGAAGAAAGAGGCGCTTATCAGATGCATTTCGGGGGGTTTGCAGAAGTGACATATTAAATCATTGTGGCTTTCAATGCAAACCAAATAATATTCCAGTTTCAGCCCACCGTTTTTTTACTGACTCCTCTCATCGAGGCTACGACACACCACACACAACACAGGTTTATCTTAAGTTTGCCTGCAAGGAGAGTCCTTGCTGTTTACTTTAAGCAGAACATTCCATATGTCTCAGATTTACATCGTACGTCTGTGAGAAGGTAAAGTGAAATAGAATGAGCCAGAGAATAATGAAAATGTACTTTGGGCTATATTGAAGCACATTGTCATGCTGACCTCTTAGTTTTAAATAATCCTGTTCTTCTAGTAGCCAGCTCTTGAAGTGTCAGAGTAAAGTAACTATGAAATATGGCTATGAATATCGTTGCATTTTATCATGAAAACAGGGTGGCCAGAGACTGTAGCTGCTCCTTGGAGGTTACGAACATGACCTACATGGAAAGTTCAAATGTGAGTAGGGTCACTTTCTCCTCGGCCTTTATACATTTCCTCTCGGCTCAAGGCTGTCTCGGGCCACCAAGTACCAAGACCCTTGCCATCAAGGTCACTTAATACGTATCTAGTTGGGCCCCAGTCTCGCTTGACTCTTTATCGATGCAATTCAGGTTAGCTACGAGGTCGTTTGCTTCGAAACTGTCTGTCAGAGTTAGCCCAAACGGAGTGGTCTTGTTCATAATCGCAGAAAGACGGCGATGTTAGATAATATATCTTTCCTATGAGGAATCGATCCCTCTCACAACAACTTTAACATACAAAGCGAAGGGCATAACAATAGACAACGGTATGACAGACAACGAAAAAGATATAAGCACGCGCTACTGTAGACTTGTCTGAAGATGTACGGATAAATCGATGAATAAATAGTAAATCATAGAAAAAGATATAAGAAATAATGTTTCACGAAACGCAAGAGGAATATAATAGGAGCGTGGTAGCCGCTCTGGTCTCACCATAAACCTCTGGAGACGGAACCGTGAACTAATCGTCCAGAGGATCGATGATCTTGGAGATTCGCTCTCCTTCGGTAGCGTCCAAGAACCCCCCCCTCTCTATCTCCTTCTCCTTCTCCTCCTCTTCCTCCTCCTTCTCCCCCCCTCTCTCTCTCTCTCTCACTCCCCCCTCCCTCCCTCCCCTCCTTCCCCCTCTCTCTCTCCCCCCCCCCCCCCCCCCCCTCCTCGCATTCTGACGCATTCTTAGCTGTGGGTGAAGTATTCTGTGCCGGAGCTACCATTGTACAGTTTTACGTACTCGTAACCGTTTTTGTGGGTGGTTGGTAGGTGCTCTGGTGTGGTTTGCTTTTTCTTTCCTATCAAACATCTATCGTCCTTATGTCCCCTTCTTCTTTTTTATATCTGGTACTCTCTTGTAACACATCTAATCTTCTGGCGCTCATATGACCTTATGCAGTTGCGAGCTCGGTAAAACCTCAACTGAAACTAAACTAAGCTACCGTTTTCCCTCTTCGTAGTGCCCATTTCCTTCATGTGTAAGGCAGCCACATTCTGATTTCGAAGGCTCTCTAGATTTTTTGTGCTGACGGCGAGTATTTTCAGTTTTGGAAGGAATTAATTCTGAATTTTGCTCGGGTGGCAGTCAAATCCCACTTTTATCGGTTTTAGGACCGCCAAGGGACCTCCCGAGGTTTTTAGCCCTTATCCGATAAGGCTAGGTGGTCGATCTTGCCTACTCTAAAGGGGGCATTACGCGTTTTGTTAAAAGTGGCAATTGCCAATCCTCTTTGTGATAAGAAAAATAATGCATGATTCAATCATGGTAAAAATATTTCCTTTTTTTAATTTTTAAAATTCTGCAAGTGGGTGGTTGGCGGGTGCTCTGGTGTGGTTTGCTCCTTCTTTCAGATCAAACATCTATCGTCTGTATCTCCCCTCCTTTTTTGTGTTTCGTGTCTTTAGGCCATTGCCGAAGGGGGGATATTAACATGATCTTATGCACAGTAAAATTGTAAATGGGCTGAATTATCAATGTCATGCTCATACTGTGCCGAAACAACATAGGGGGAACTGCTGCTTTTTCCTTCCTCATCCTTACCATCGTCTTCTGCTTGTTTTGTATGTTTGTCACTCTCTTGTGAACTGTTATTTTCAGGGGTGCTTTGTGATTTTGTGCAGTTGAGGCTAGAGAGGTGAGCAGAGTAAGCCGAATTCCACGTGTGGACTTCAATTCTCTGTTGACATCCACCCTTTGGCACTCATATGACTTTTTGCAGTTGCGAGCGCCATAAAAACCTTACTAAAACTCTAAAAACTCCTACTAAAATAAAAACTTTCTCTCTTTCTCTTTCTTTATGCAGCTGGACCAATTAGAGCACAGTGCAGAGCAGCGTTGGGAGGTCTTCGACAACAACAGAGGAGCGCCAGTAGCCGGCGACAGCCAGTCTGACTCATCCGTGCTCATGCCGGAAGATTTCGCCCGGGGAGCACCCCCAGCATCCGCCAGTCATTACAGTGGAGGCGTTGCAGATCCAGTCCCATCCCTTGACAACAAACAAAGCATGGAGTTGTGTGACTACGAGTGTGTGAGTGGTGTTCAGAAACGTTTGCCAGACCAGGCCTCTAGTACTGAAGAGTCGAGCCATTACACGCCTGATGTCTCGGAGACTGAAGATTGGGGAGGGTCATCGATGCCATGTGATGACGAAGAGGATGATGAGGATGATGATGAGGAGGAGGACACGTTGTATGTGAGGATAAAAGATTTTTGTAATGTGTTGGACTTCAGCGAGTTTAATTTGGCCACAGAGCCGGAGATGGAGAGTGATCGTTTTAGCAGCTATGGGGAAGAATATAATGAGCAGGGGTATGAAGAGGAAGACTGGGGAGGTGTTACGGAGGATACTTTGCAGGACGCTGGTGCTGCCGGACTTGAGGGGCAGTCTCAGGGTGGAATTTTGGAAGATGGACGGGGTGTTGTTGAAACTCACAGGACAGACGAGACCCTGTTGGAGCAACAACTTCTCTCAGCTTTAGCATCAAGTCGTCTGATGACTCTGACTGTGCCAGTTCTCACCACTAGGCTGAAAGCCCGAAAGGAGACCGTGGAGGATGTTCTTGCAGAGTGTGCTCAAGAAGAACTCGTGACATTCATCTCCGCTACCAATGAGGTCATGCTGACAGCCAAAGGTCAAAATCAATGCCAACTTCAGAACAGTAAAGATTTCAAGACGCCAGTGAAGCAAGAATTAAACAATGGTCCTCCCCCTCTAAACCCTGCAAGGCTGATTTCGTCGGACACTGCATTTAGCACAAGCCTCGGGGACGTTCGCCTGCCTCTTGGAAGAGGACAGTCATGGTCATCATTACAGACACACAGTACCACATCACATGACCACAACGAAAGGAACACAACAGTGAAACTTCCTCCATCATGTGTGCCAGTGGCCAACCCAGCTTTCCGACAGTCTGCATCTGTGGTGCCTCCTCATACTGGAATGGTACAGAGCAGTTTTAAGAACCTGTCAGACTCAAGTGCTGTACCGTCAGAGCGTTCAGCCTTCACGAGGGTCACACCTTCCTCATCCTCTTCCTCACCTCACGCTGAAACATTGGTCCTGGACAGACCTCAGAGTTTTTCTGCTCAGGGACCCGGCAAGTTCCCTCATCAACTCACGACCCAAATGGGTGCATCTGGAGGAGCCTTATACTCGCTTCCTGCTGGCCAGCCTTCTAACTCACATCTGACATTCGGGCAGCAGCTCAAGAAAGAGACGGGAATCAACTTCCCAGGAGTAGAGTATCTGGTCCTTACTGACAAAGCTGGCTTTCAGCAGGCTGCAGCCTTTGGTGCTCCAAGAGGACCGTCTGACTTGTCCGGGACGGCGTCTTCTCTGGCAACATCAGCACAGCAGGCTCTCGGAGCTGCTAGGCGCCCCCCACTGTTGACTACCCCACATGGCAGCGGGAAAGTGCTTAATCCTCCAGGGTTCTTGAATAGAGACGCGGCAGACAGAGCTCCTTTGTTGGTGAGGGCTTCTTTTCACTCCTTTTTTTTCTTTCTTTTTAGGTAAAAATGTTTATGATCTAGATCATGTCATATGTCACGATCAGCTTTGCGGGTGGTTGGAGGGCGCAGCTGGTAGGTCTCACTTCTTTACTTTCCCTCTCTTGTTTCTGTCTGTCTATCTGTCTCACCTATTCCCAGCTCTAAATGACCGTTATTGTGTCGACGTACTTCTCCTCAACTTATTCAAACAAACATAAACAAGATCAGCTTGGGTTGGCCTAGACAGGCAGGATTGAAGCAGCCCATCTACTTAATAATCTTAATTGTGTCCTTAAAAGTGTGGAACAATTACAACCAATTAATCACAGAATGGAGTAGGTTATCGGGGTCACCATGTCTCTGGGTGTTACCGGGATCATCCTGTAGATGTCTCAGCTTCTTTCGTGCCTTTTCTGATACGCTCATGGCTCAATGCCAGAGGTTTTTTGTTTTTTGTTTACTACATGGGTTGATGTTTTTGAAAATAAAATGACTAAAATCAGAGTCTCATTTTCTCTACTTCAGGCAAATCTCTATGAAAAATCTATAGTTGATGCAACAAAGTATATTATTACATATTTATTATATGTTTGGTATATTTGTATAGTTATATATATAATGTGTGTGTGTGTGTGTGTGTGTGTGTGCAACATGTATAATGTTTACCTATATATGTTACTAGAATACCTGTGTGATAAAAAAATACCTTTATTATTATATAACAATCCTCTCTACTATTTCAGCCAAACCCATTTGACAAATCAGCAGCAGCAGCGACCTCCAGTCCGCAACAAGTTACCGCCTACACCCCTCAAGGTCCTGCTCAGCCTGCTGCTGCCCCAGGAGGAGCCCTTGAGATCACCAGCGAGAGTTTCGCCGCCCTCAACAAGAATCCAATCAGTGCCCTCATGGAGTACGCCCAGTCTCGCCACGTACCTGCCCGCATTGATGTGCTCAGCCAGAGTGGTCCTCCTCACAAACCTACGTGAGTTGTTCTCTGGGTTTTTTTCTCTTTTTAATTAAATATTCCTAAGGCACATTTTTATTTTTGGGAAACTTCCTAGTGCACTCCACGGCAAAATGTGTCCAGATGACTGTGCTGTAGTTTATCTTTTAGGAAATGCGTCCATTTATGATATTGCCACTGTCACCAGAAAAATAAGAAGGCCTACTATTTTCATCTGACCCTGTTTTATAGGGTGAGTAATAATAAAGTGGCGGTACTCATTTTCTTTTTTGCCATAGCAACAGTAATCATTATCATGCTTATTTGTCCCATTATTCCAAGTAGTTGCAATACCTTTATTAAGAAAGGTATTGCCAATACATTCATGTCTTTTTTCAAAATCGTCTCAGTTTTGTGGTGGCTGCTGTTGTGGGCAGTCGTCAGTTTCCGGGAATCACGCACAGCAACAAGAAGGATGGACGAAAGGATGCAGCAGAGCAGGCCATTCGCATGCTGATTGCAGAGGGGCAGTACCAGATGCCTCAACAAGTTGGTGTGGTGAGTGCTTTCACCCTAGATTAAAGAGTCTAGTTTTTTACTGTGTAAAGTATTGTCCTTATTTTTGTTGATCCATAAATTGCTTCTGTGAGTTAGCCTTTCAGGACAATTCCATTTTGTTGAAGGTGTTGTGTGAGTCAGAGAAGGTGAGGGGCTAGGCCTAGAGGAAGGAGAACTTGTCAGAAAAATATACACGACTGGGTGTAGAAGAGGGAGAACTCATGAAGGTAATATACACGACTTGGGCTAGTAGGACCAAGGGTGTTTGGTAAGGGATTTGTAAAAAAAGAAGTGGGTCTGGTAAAAACATTGTTATGGAGACGGGTGAATAGAAGTTTGATATGATAAACAGAACGTTTATCTTCTTTACCATTCATTGTCAGGTATGCCTATTTAATTATTCCTTCTCACTCAGGGTTGTAATTTTTTTTTTCAGCTTCTCTGCTTGAATCAAATTTAAAACATTTCTCATTACTACACGGTCTGTTTTCAGCTAAAAATCCCAGAGTCACAAATGACGTTGTTTGACAAGATAGCAGCTTTGACTCATCAGAAGTTCAACAGTCTAATTGCGACGGTAGCCGAAACACTAACAGGGAGGAAGGTCATCGCTGGTCTGGTCATGAAGATGGATGATTTAGATAAAGGAACGGTCATTGCCATTGGTTCTGGTAAGAACTTTGGGAGGGTGTATGTTGTATGTGTGTACATGTGTTGTATGAGAGATAGGTCCTTTGTTATCCTCATTTTTTTTCACTGAATTACTTTCCCTATGTTCTACATTACTAAGGATTGCCTTCTTTCCAATTTTTAATCACAACAGGGGGGGGGGTTTTCCTGTCTTTCATATCCTGAAACCTCCATTTTTACAATAATAAGCCATTTTTCTGTTATAGAAGGTCACACTATGGTCAAAATTATTGATATTGAAAGTGTTGTAGTCCTTTCATAGCTTTATATGAGTGATCATTTTTACTGGGAATCTTTTTTCTCACAGTTACAAGACAAATATTAAAAAGTAATTCAATATATTTAGCTCCCCTGCAATGCCAGGTTAGAGGGAGTCACTCGTTTTTCTTATGAGCAGAAATGAATTAGTTTTGTTCATCTTTCTGTGAGTTCTCAGAAGTTGTTTTCTGATTTGTCTTTAATACACTAATGATGTGGGTTCCCTGAGCGCAACTTAAAAGTCTTTCTAAATTGTCTTTTAGGTAATCGTTGTGTCACTGGAGACAAACTGAGTCTTCATGGGCACACAGTGAATGATTGCCATGCTGAGGTCATCACACGCAGAGGATTTATGAGGTGAGTCCCAAACAATGGATTCGAGGGATATACTTGTCCACAAATATGCTATCCTTTAGTACTATGTTTTAAATTATTATGAAGCCTGAGATATTCTGAATTTGAAAAGAAAAGAAATGTATGTGTCAACAAAGCGTCATTTTTTCATTGATGCCAGCTTACCTGTTAACATGCTTTTTGCTTCTTTGTAACTAAAACAACAAACACTGTATTTTAATCCAGAGTCAAGAAGTTCAGTTTGTATCGTGCTCTTCTTCCGCGTGGATGACCCTAATTCAAGTCAGATTCCTCCCTATGGAATTTGTAGCAGTTCAACCATAACCCTCCTTCCCTCCTTCCCCCGCAACCTCTTCTTTCCCCCCTTTAGGTTTTGTGCCAGCCAAACCAATTAAAACCAACTTCTACTCCCCCTCCCCCCTTTTGAGTTTTTTGGAATCAGCCAGACAAATTAACACCTTTCTTGTGGTTTCTCCTGCCAGGTTTCTGTACCAGCAGTTGCAGACGTACCAGCTGGGCAAGGACCACCCCCTGTTTGAGCCTTCCCAGTCAGGCAAATTGAAAGTCAAGGACTCCGTGACCTTTCACCTGTACATATCGACGGCACCCTGTGGAGATGGTGCTCTCTTCTCTCCACGGTTAGTATTCACTTCCAATTGTTTGTTCTTCTGCAAGTTCTCAGAAGTTATTTGTGGTAGATGAAGGGTGCCACTCTACTGGCAGGTCATACGTCTTTACTGCTCCTATTTTGTTTCTGTCCATCTGTGTTCCTTGTTCTCCTGCTCTAAATGAGCATTGTTGTGTTGGCAGTGTGCTTCCCTTTGTTTACACAAACAAACAAACAATTGGAAGTTGTTTTCCTAATTTGTCTGTGAAATACTTGCAATGTGACTTTCCTGTATTCAGAATATTTTTTTCTTCAACGTGTGTAATAATAAGGGCTGTACTGTAACTGTTCAACAGAAGTTGTCTTATACCGTGGATGACCCTGGTTCAAATGTCATTAAAATCCTTGAAAAGAATTAGATTGTGAAGTTTTCAAGCTCTCCTTTCATATGAATCACTGCGTTCAGAGATGCATTCAGATGGCAGGAAATAACCTGACAGTGTTGAAAATGGAGTTTTATACCCTTTTCCGATCAAATTGTGTCAGTGATGCAATTATACGGTAAATCGAACAAATATACACCCATACCAGTCCACTCATGTGCAGGTGGTTGGCGGTGTTCAGATGTGTTGGTTCCTTCTTTCCTATCAAACATCTTACCATCCTTAACTCTCCTCCTCCTTTTTCTGTGCATGTTACTATTTAGTAGCACCTCTAATCTTCAGCATTTATATGACCATTTATTTGTGTTGCAAGTGTAGTAAAACTATTACGTAAACTGAAACCAAGTGCCGTAAAACTTTTGCTAGAACAAAAAACAAATGCTGACTCATGTAATCTTTTTCCTCAGGGATGTCAAGTCGAACAGCGGTCCATCATCTGAAGCATACAATCACCACAGACCCACAGTGGGTGGCAGTGCACAGGGACTTCTGAGGACAAAGATGGAGGGAGGTCAGTGGGATTTGTTTTCCGGGATGAGGGTGTCACTTTTCTAGGAATTTTTGAATTTTTGAATTTTTTCCATATGGACACCTCAGAACTATTTTGTCCAAAGTACAGTCTGTATTAGGTACACTTTGGACCAAATGGTTCTGAGGCGATGATATATCTTTCACCATGCATTCACTCACCATCTTACTCAAACACACAGGCTCTTCCTTAGCTGCTGTTGTGCCAATTCACTGTAAACCACATCTCTACAACTGCTCGTCTCAACTTTTAAAAAATGGACATTTCCTGATCTACCACTTTCCTACTCTACCACTTTCCTATTCTCATTGTGTATTATTCTCTAATAATTTATATAGAGGTCTTCAGCTCAGGTTGCTCCCCTATCATAAGATCTATTTATTTTCCTTTTTGTGCCCTTTTTTGACTATTTTATTCGTTATCCAATTATGAACTTTCTGTAATCGGAGAATTTCTTTTTTTGTATAATGGTTTTGTAGCTATTTTCTTTATACTTAAATCTTATGGGGGGTTTTTCCCAGAAATTACAGTACTCTGAGATTGTTTAGTTTAGCTGTGTTTGTTCCGAATTCCTTTTTCTCTTTCTGTTTTGGCTCTGAATGTAGTCGTCCTTCTTTATCCTGTTTGTATTTTTCTTTTTTTTTTACAAAAGTTCTTTGCATAATATCCAGGTGAAGGCACAATTCCGATCAACTCAAGTGATGGCTGCCAAACCTGGGATGGCATTCTGCGAGGCGAGCGGCTGCGCACCATGTCATGCAGTGACAAGATTTGTCGTTGGAATGTCCTGGGCATGCAGGGAGCATTGCTTTCCCATTTCCTGGACCCAGTCTACATGCATTCCTTAACTCTCGGTAATATATATGTAGAGACAAACATTTCAGGTGTAGAAAAAATTGATTTATAATGTTCAGAACACAACGTGGACTTGAATTATTTTTCTATTGTGCTAACTTTATAAAAGGTACGCTAACTCAGGGCTGAGGCTGTTGAGTTTTTTAGAGAAAACTATGCTGAAAGGAGTAATTGATTTTTTCGTGCTGGTGGCGGATAATTTTTCCTTTATGATCTCCTTAGACATTAAACCAAGAGTTTGCCAGTGTGATGCAATAGATTTATAAGGGTCTGATTTGACTCACTAGCAAAATAATCATTTCCGTCTCCAAGAAAAAAGAGTTGTTACTATTATTAAATGATATATCTGTATTTGTTCTTTGCTTTGTTCAGGCTACCTGTACGATCACGGACACCTGTCCCGCGCTGTGTGCTGCCGACTCAATCGTAGCCACCCGTCCCTAGACGACGAGCTGCCGTCCACCTACCAACTGCACCACCCACTGCTGGGCCGCGTGACGGCCTGCGACCCACCGAGAGAGACGCAGAAGACCAAGTCGTACAGTGTAAACTGGACATACGACGATGCCCGGCCAGAGGTGCTGGAAGGCAATACGGGGAGGTTACCCTCTGGGTGAGTAGCGCTCTGTGCTCTTTTGTTACTTCCCTCACTACAAAGGGACTGCTCAGTGTAAGACGCCACCATCCGTCACTTTTCAAAATGGTGTATAGCAGAGTCTTACGCTGAGTAGTGGGAATGATTATTGTTTGGTGTCTGTTATTATATTGGTGCCTCTGTTATCGTTTTGGTGTCTCTGTTATTGTGTGACTGCGAATGGTTGAAGGATAGCACTGGTAGGTCTTACTCCTTTTTTTTTCTTTCTGTTGTTTCTGTCTGCCTTACCTTCTTCTTCCCTGCAGTGAATGACAGTTTTAGTATTGATGTGCTTCTCTTTACTAAATATTACTGAAACTGAGTGTTGTCTGCTCTTTTGTTTTCTCCCTGCTGGAAATAATATTGAATTATTTTTGTGTCAGTGTGTCTGTCACTGTGTCAATGTCTCTGTCAATGTGTCAGTGTCTTTGTTACTGTGTCATTGTCTCTATTGTGTCTTGGTTACCGTGTCATTGTCTCTATTACTGTGTCAGTATATCTTCAGGGATACCGTTTTTCCTGGGGGGGGG